AGAGAGAGAGAGAGAGAGAGAGAGAGAGAGAGAGAGAGAGAGAGAGAGAGAGAGAGAGAGGACAAAAAATAATAAAGAACGGGATTCAGATCTAATCGCCTGACTGGCGGGCGAAAAGAAAAAGCCTTTATTATAGAGAACGTTTTGCTCGTCTCAAGCTTTATCAAGTCACTGTAAGAAACAGTAAAATACAAACTTATATTACCCAGACGTAGCGGATGAAGACGCTGAGGAGGAGGAGGAGGAGGAGGAGGAGGAGGAGGAGGAGGAGGAGAGGAGGCTATTGGAGGAGGAGGAGGAGGGGAGTGAGAAGGAGGAATAGGCTTTAATTTGGGGAACTCTGAGAGATGAGACATTGTGGTCGGGTGAAATGTAGGGTGGAACTTCAGCCATTTTGACATATGCTTAATAACATTTTGGCTCTGCACCCGTGAAACATTGCTTAGCTCTGGAAAACATATGGCTGTGTGAAACACTCTTGGCTCTGTGAACATTGCTTGGCTCTGTGGAACATTGCTTGGCTCTGTGAACATTGCTTGGCTCTGTGAAACATTGCTTGGCTCTGTGGAACATTAGCTTGGCTCTGTGAAACATTGCTTGGCTCTGTGGAACATTGCTTGGCTCTGTGGAAACATTGCTTTGGCTCTGTGGAACATTGCTTGGCTATGTGGAACATTGCTTGGCTCTGTGAGACATTGCTTGGCTCTGTGGAACATTGCTTGGCTCTGTGAAACATTGCTTGGCTCTGTGAAACATTGCTTGGCTCTGTGGAACATTGCTTGGCTCTGTGAAACATTGCTTGGCTCTGTGGAACATTGCTTGGCTCTGTGGAACATTGCTTTGCTCTGTGGAACATTGCTTGGCTATGTGGAACATTGCTTGATTCTGTGGAACATTGCTTGGCTCTGTGGAACATTGCTTGGCTCTGTGGAACATTACTTGGCTCTGTGGAACATTGCTTGGCTCTGCGGAACATTGCTTGGCTTTGTGGAACATTGCTTGGCTCTGTGGAACACTGCTTGGCTCTGTGAAACATTGCTTGGTTCTGTGGAATATTGCTTGGCTCTGTGGAACATTGCTTGGCTCTGTGGAACATTGCTTGGCTTTGTGGAACATTGTTTGGCTCTGTGGAACACTGCCTGGCTCTGTGAAACATTGCTTGGCTCTGTGGAACATTGCTTGGCTCTGTGAAACATTGTTTGGCTCTGTGGAACATTACTTGGCTCTGTGGAACATTGCTTGGCTTTATGGAACATTGCTTGGCTCTGTGAAACATTGTTTGGCTCTGTGGAACACTGCCTGGCTCTGTGAAACATTGCTTGGCTCTGTGGAACATTGCTGGCTCTGTGAACATTGCTTGGCTCGTACAGTGTTGTGAAACATTGCTTGGCTCTGTGAAACACTGCCTGGCTCTGTGAAACATTGCTTGGCTCTGTGGAACATTGCTTGGCTCTGTGGAACACTGCCTGGCTCTGTGAAACATTGCTTGGCTCTGTGGAACATTGCTTGGCTCTGTGGAACATTGCCTGGCTCTGTGGAACATTGCTTGGCTCTGTGAAACACTGCCTGGCTCTGTGAAACATTGCTTGGCTCTGTGGAATACTTTTATGATATGGTTAAACATTCCTTTTCTCTGTGGAGTAATTGCTTGGTTACGTGGAGTATTTTCTGCAGGTGAAGGGAGATTTTACACTCCGTAGTTCTATACAGAAGTTTCATGAACGATGTTACTCTCAGCTATGGTCTCCAAACCCTGGATTACAGATGCGTGATTATTATTATTATTATAATCAAGGGGGAAGCGCTAAACCCGGAGGGTTATACAGCGCCTGGGGGGGGGGGATGTGGAAGGCATTCAGGCTTAATTCGGGGAACTGGAGCACAGACCCAATTCCCTAAATCAAGAGCCCCTAACCAACATCAAGGAACCTTCCTTGAGGGTACAGTTGCATGAAAGCATTTTCTTCTGCATCTCTTTACCTCTGCCTTGGCACTGCTTCCAACTCCCTCTAGTGACAGTGTTTGGTGTGTTGGATGATACATGCACTGCTAGCGTTGTTGGATGATATGTGCACTGCTACCATTGTTAGATGATACATGCATTGCTAGCGTTGTTGGATGATACATGCACTGCTAGCGTTGTTGGATGATACATGCACTGCTAGCATTGTTGGATGATAAATGCATTGCAAGCGTTGTTGAATAATATATGCACTGCTAGCGTTGTTGGATGATATGTGCATTGCTAGCGTTGTTGGATGATGCATGCACTGCTACCATTGTTGGATGATACATGCATTGGTAGCATTGTTGGATGATACATGCACTGCTAGCGGTGTTGGATGACACATGCACTGCTGGGATTGTTGGATGATACATGCACTGCTAGCGTTGTTGGATGATACATGCACTGCTAGCATTGTTGGATGATACATGCATTGGTAGCGTTGTCGGATGATACATGCATTGCTAGCATTGTTGGATGATACATGCACTGATAGCAGTGTTGGATGACACATGCACTGCTGGGATTGTTGGATGATACATGCACTGATAGCGTTGTTGGATGACACATGCACTGTTAGCATTGTTGGATGATACATACATTGCTAGCGTTGTTGGATGATACATGCATGTGCTTTAGAGCACTGCACTTGGATTTGATACATGCATTGCTAGCGTTGTTGGATGATACATGCATTGCTGGCGTTGTTGGATGACACATGCACTGCTGGAATTGTATACATGCACTGCTAGTGTTGTTGGGTGATACATGCATTGCTGCGTTGTTGGATGATACATGCACTGCTAGCGTTGTTGGGTGATATGCACTGCTAGCGTTGTTGGATGATACATGCACTGCTAGCGTTGTTGGATGATACATGCACTGCTAGCATTGTTGGATGATACATGCATTGCTAGCGTTGTTGGATGATACATGCATTGCTAGCGTTGTTGGATGATACATGCACTGCTAGCGTTGTTGGATGATACATGCATTGTTAGTGTTGTTGGATGGTACATGCATTGCTAGCGTTGTTGGATGATACATGCATTGCTGGCGTTGTTGGATGACACATGCACTGCTAGCATTGTTGAGTGATACATGCATTGCTAGCATTGTTGGATGATACGTGCATTGCTAGGATTGTTGGATTACACATGAACTGCTAGCGTTGTTGGATGATACATGCACTGATAGCGTTGTTTGGTGATATATGCACTGCTAGCGTTGTTGGGTGATACATGCACTGATAGCGTTGTTTGGTGATATATGCACTGCTAGCGTTGTTGGATGATACATGCACTGCTAGCGTTGTTTGGTGATATATGCACTGCTAACGTTGTTGGGTGGTACATGCACTGCCAGCGTTGTTGGGTGATACATGCACTGCTAGCGTTGTTGGGATGATACATGCACTGCTAGCGTTGTTGGGTGATACATGCACTGCTAGCGTTGTTGGGTGATACATGCACTGCTAGCGTTGTTGTGATATGCGGGCATAAGAGTGCCCTCAATCCTTGCGTTTTGTTTCCTCTCGGTGTTTGACACTTCCTCTTTGATGAATCTGAGTAGGTCGTGCTTCCTCAGCAGTCCTGGTCAGAATCAATTTTTTTTTGGATTGAATAAGCATCTAAGGAAACAGAGTAGACGGGCATGATCATGACGATGCTGTGCAGTTGATGTTCCGGATGATGTCCTTAATGTTTATAGTATTAAATACATTTTAATAGGACACAGAAAAAATGTTACTGTGGTGTTGCAAGTGAGCAGTGTTGCTTCCGTGAATAACGCATTGTTCAGATGGTTATGCAATGTACTTTATGACAGTGCCTTGTTCACCATTAGCGGAAGATCGATCCTCAATCTTTTCTTGTGGTTCAATCACTGCTACGGATTGAGATATACTTCATAACACGAAAATAAACTCAACCTGCTAGCGGTGATATCATCGAACCGTATACAAGTTCACTTAGTTTCATGATAGTTGGATGATTTCAGTCGACCTTTGTTCTCTGTTTTTCGTATAATGTCCGAAATTTTTCAGTGAAATAACTGACTGTGTGATAAGTTTTGCGTTGCTCGCATAGAAAGAATTGTTTTTACGATGACTGCCTTGTTTCGTGGTGATTGCTGTTGTTGTTGCGAGGTACTATATTGTGAGTTGTTGGATGTAATGATTGTAACGTGTTGGCATGACACATGCCCTTAGTAAATTAAGTGATTGCATTGCTGCACTGTTGAGTACTGTGCATTGTAGGAATGTTGGATGAACATGAACTAGCGAGTTGAATCTTATATGACTGCCAGGGTTGTTGGATGATACATTCTGCATAATGTTTTTGTATCATACAGTGAATTTGCTACGTAGTGGGTTTATGATGACTGCCTGCTGTTGGATGATAACAGAGAAGGCAGATCGTGTTTAGTGTTATAGATACACTGTAGGTTGTTGGGTGATACATGCACTGCTAGAGTTGTTGGATGATACATGCACTGCTAGTGTTGTTGGGTGATACATGCACTGCTAGCATTGTTGGGTGATATATGCCCTACTAGGGTTGTTGGATGATGCATGCACTGCTAGCGCTGTTGGATGATGCATGCACTGCTAGCGTTGTTGGATGATGCATGCACTGCTAGCGTTGTTGGATGATGCATGCACTGCTAGCGTTGTTGGGTGATACATGCACTGCTAGCGTTGCGTGTGTGTTTCGGGCATAAGAGTGCTCCTCAATCCTTGCGTTAGTTTCCTCTCGTGTTTCACTTCCTCTTGATGATTCTGGAGGTCGTCTTCCTCAGCGGTCCGGTCCCAGATCAATTTTTTTTGTTTGAAAGCCACCTAAGAAACAGAGTAGACGCTGTCAGACTGATGCCTGTGAGTTGATGTTCCGGTGATGTCTTTAATGTTTTACTAGTTTAAATAACATTTTAATAGGTACAAAAGAAAAAAGTTTCACTTGTGTTGCAAGTGAGCAGTGTTGCTTCACGTGATAACGTTGCAGATGGTATTGCCAATGTTATCATATATGACAGTGCCTGTTCACCATTAGCGACGGGAAGATCGATCCTCAATCTTTCTCTTGTGGTCAATCACGCAGTACAGATTGAGCACTTCAAACAAGAAAATAAACTCAACCCTGCAGCGGTGTATCCTGTCGGAACCGTATACAAAGTTCACTTAGTTTCATGATAGTTAGGATTTCAGTCGACCTTTCTCTGTATTCTTCGATGAAATGTCGGAAATTTTTCAGTGAAATAACTGACTGTGATAAGTTTTGCGTGCCCCATAGAAAGAATTGTTCTACGAGGACGCCTTGTTCGGTGTTGCTGTTGTGTTGCGAGGAGGTCTTGATTTGTGAGGTTTCTGTAGATCTCAAGGTAGTAAAGTCAGCCGTCCAATTCTCCCTTCAAGGTAAACTTAATAGGCATTGTCAAAGTGACACTGACTCGAGTTACACTGGCATGATACTGAAATGAGTGGTACTGAAACTGACAAGAGTGAAACTCTTCAGTAGTGACCGCCACTGGGAAGATTTAGTAGTTCTGCACAATATTATTATTTTTCCAAAGGGGAATTTTAAACCAGTAGGGGGTTTATGCAAGACCCTGACTGCTAAGTTTAGAGACGAGGAGGAAGGAGGATTAGAGTTTATGTCTTATAGATAACGAGTGAGAGGGCTCGCTTGTGAGATAATGAGTAAGAAGAGAAGGTTAATGAATGAAAGATAATGAGCGAGTGTTAACGAGGCAGGGATAATGACAAGGACAGGTGGAAGGGGGGGGGGGCGTGCGCAGGTGAGGGCGGGTGCCAGTGCCACAAGCAGCTGGTCGTGGCAGCAGCAGTCAGCTGCTACCACAGCCAGTCAGGTTGTGAGCATTGTCGCGCGAGCACACGCCAGTCCCCCGCGCCTCTAAGTGTCGTGTGGTTGGAAACTTAGGCGCGTCGTCAGGTTTCCTAACCCCCCGCGCCCTCCTTCAAAGTCGCCCACTTACTACCACCTTCTTCAGGTTTGCGGTCTTCGGCGGGCACGTTGTGGAGCCTCGGTGGTGTGGGTGACGGACCATGTCACCCACATTGTACCCACCTCCTTCCCCGCCTTCCCCATCAGCGGGGCTGGTGGCCTCGGGAGTGCCCACGGGGCTTAAGGCCCTGGCGCAGACGCTGCCAGTGCTGCAGGTGCCAAACTCCAAGTTCGAGGAGGAAGATGACTCCGGAGAGGTGACGTACCGCGGTGGCGTCGTCAACGGCAAGGAAGAACTGGCCACTGTGGCCTCAAATAACGCAGTCACCTCCGTCATCACTGAGGTCTTCAGCATGTGTCTCGAGTTCGACAACTGCACCACCGACCTGCCGGAGCCCGTCGCCGACAATTGCACCGCCAACTGTACCGTCGAGGACCCCATCCACACGCAGAGGAACTACTGGACGCTTCTCCTGCTCCTCTTTCCCGTCTTTACCGTCTTCGGCAATATACTGGTGCTTATGTCCGTGTACAAGGAACGCTCGCTTCAGACCGTTACCAACTACTTCATTGTGTCGCTGGCTGTAGCCGACCTTCTCCTCGCCTCCATCGTCATGCCCTTCGCCGTCTACTATCTGGTAGGTCACATCGATGGGTTCATTATCGAAAGGTAATTTCTGAAGGCAGAAGTCGAGGGCCAGTGTGGAAGGTCATATCAGAAAGTTATATCTCCAGAGGTCAGATCGAGACAAGTAGACGTCGCTTATAAACGTATTTACATAGTTCCCGTGAAGAGAAATGGTATAAAATATCATTGTATTCTATAACGGAACCATGTAACATACGTTTTATAATTGATCGTTAGAATATGTGTTACCCTCTAAGAGTCACTATTCTTAGTAACAAGGTGTTGTAAAGCAACATACGTTACTCCTTCAGAAATATTTCCATAATCTCGCAAAATGCACTGAAAAATTATTTCAAAACGCCTTTTCGCTATTTACAAATACTTTTACAATAAAAACAGCTATAAAAAGAGTTGCAATTATCCCATATAGAAATTACATAGGATACACTTACACGGAAGTTTATGACACCAAAGGTATATATACTTCATTACAGTTCATAATACACTATACAAGTAAACCTGCTCCAGGGTATATATACCGAAATATGTATAACTCTTTGTGTATATATACTGAGAGTTGATCTTACTCCTTTTTATAGGGATTAAAATATCCTTCACTGGTGATGTTGAGGTGAAATGCAGCATCAATGACCACAACAATTAGACTTTATGTATAATGAACGAATCTCCTTGATATCAAAAAAAAAAAACAGCGTCCGAAGTATCAGTGTTAACATACATCAGGCAGACAGCGCGTGCATAAGCTTGATGACTCCCGACACGCTGTGTAGGCACCACTTGGCATAATTACCGCTGTTGTATACCCCAGTAATGTTGTTCTGATATCGTGCTGCCACAGATATAAAAAAAATATCTCGCTGCTCCACCCTTCCCTTCTGTGTTTGTACTGAGTTATCAGAGCAGGTAAATACGAATCACGTCAACGTGGCTGCAACATTGCATAAGTAAACCACGTATTGAACAAATATGTACCACCTGAGCGTCTTTAACAGACGTTTTGCCCACCAAGGGCATTATCGAGGATTTTTGATTAATAAAGCCCCTGGTTAGCGAAACGTCTTTCACATAAAGATGAGGTGTTGCACAGACTTCTTATTCACCATCTTGTGGGTACTGTGCACCCATAAGACTGAAGAGGATTCAACATCATGTTCAAGTCAGTCCTGGTAGTAACATGCTATGAGTTACTTGCAAAAAGGGACAGAGGTTGAGGCAGATGACAACACCTCGTCTCAAGCACAGTGACCCACCACTGGTTCACCAGAGTATGATTAATTCCCAAGAATTGTATTCCGTGAAGCACTTAACCAGCGTAGGTCATTCAGTCTCTGTTTTTAGTAAGTCATACTGTTATGCTGGATGATTATAACAAGATGATACTGTATACTTTTAGTAATCTAGTTCATAACAGCAGATGAAATGCTCAGGGTATTATTATTATTATTATTGATTATTATTATTAAATTATCATTATTAATAAATTAACTGGAAAATGCTAAAGCCGTAAGGGTCATATACCGCCAGGGAAATGGGAGGCAATCAGGTTCGAGCCGAGGAAGCGGAAGGGGATAGCCTCAATTCCCCGGACCAAGAGCCCTTGAAGAAAGTGTTTCTCCTCCGTATCTAAGAGAACAAAATAAACAACAAATTCATCATTTACTCTCATTTAACAACGTTAATTACTCATAGAACAACTTTAATTCTTCGTTTAACAACGTTAATTCCTCATGCAACAACGTTAATTGCTCGTTTAAGAACGTTAATTCCTCAGTTAACAACGTTAATTCATCTTTTAACAACGTTAATTCATCGTTTAACGTTAATTCCTCGTTTAACAACGTTAGTTCCACAGTTAACAACGTTAAAATGTGCACGTCGACAACTGATTGTATAATTATATAAGAACTAATGAAATAAGAGAGATTAATAATACATCAATACAATACAGATAAATAATACATCAATACAATACAGATAAGTAATACATCAATACAATACAGATAAATAATACATCAATACAATACAGATAAGTAATGCATCAACAAATACAGATACGTTATGGATGAATGTAATACTTATGAATTAATACACAAATAAGTACAGATAAGTAATATATCAACACAATAAGGGATACATCAATACAATAACGATACATCAATACAATAGCGATACATTAATACAATAGCGATACATCAATACAATAGCACGTCTCCTGTTACTATTGGCTAACACAGAGTGAAATATTCATACTTTCACACGAAGTAACACATTCGTGGACGTATTCACACATGTCATTCAAATGCACACACACTGCCACGTTGACACACGTCATTCAAACAACACACACACACACCACACACACACACACACACACACACACACACACACACACACACACACACACAAAATGTTCACAGACATTACCTCATTCATGCATATCGGATATATGCATGACTTCACTCGCACATGTTTTCCGCAGAATATTACATTCAAACAAACACACACACACACACACACACGTTTCTACACATGTCTTTGCGTTAGTTTGCACACTAGCCAAGTAGAGTCATCAGCTAAGTTTCCGAACTGCATTTACCTTGTACAATCTCTGTCTCTTGATAAGTGTCAGAGTTAGCTCAGTGTTGTTGCAGCTCAGAGCAGTTGTCTCGTTACTGATGATAGCCTCTCTCTGTTGTCTCTCTGTTGGCAGTTATCTGAATTGTTTTTCCGTTGGCAATTACCTGAATTGTCTCTCTGTTGCTGTTGTATGAATTACTTCTCTGTTGATGGTCGTTTGAACTCTATTGATGGTCGTTTTCGTTATCTCTCTCTCTCTCTTGACAGCTGTTTAAGTTATCCTTCTGTCAAAGTAAGCAGCATTTGTGGCTCTCTACTGATGGCCATTTCAAAATGGCACGCTATTTTTTTTTATTGTTTATGTATATCTCGTTTCAGTTATCTCTCGGTGATAAAAAAAAATAAAACTTACAATACTTCAGGATTGTAAAATTAAAAATCATAAAAAATGAATGACTTACATAGAACAAAAATATTAGTAAGAATTTCTTGTTTCGTTTTACATTCTAGGTTTTTCTAAGCAATATAATATATTATTTAATTAAATAATATAATATAATAAGCTACTTACTAATATTACTACTACTACTACTACTACTACTACTACTACTACTACTACTACTACTACTACTAATAATAATAATAATAATAATAATAATAATTATAATAATTTTACGCTACATATAAACCTTAGCTAATACACAAATATTTCTCTTCATATATGCTCTATAAGGATATATATACACCAAGAGGTGCATGTCTATTTTTAGTGTATATACGCTGAGAGGTGTATGTCTATCAGTGTATATACTCAGAGAGTTTACTTTAATTCTCCCTGTTAATACTGGAGATTATAGTATCCTTGACTGGTGGTATACAGGTGACATTCAGCCTTGATCTCTCTCATATAGTCGATAGGCTTTAAACCCGATAAACCAAAAACAAACATTTGCACTTAATCGCTTGCTCTGACTTGTATTTACACTCATTCACACCGATCCACAACATTTACACTCATTCACACCGATCCACAACATTTACACTCATTTACACCTGCAGCCATTTACACTGGCACAACTCTTTTCTTTTTCCCTCTAGCTCATTAATATTTTCATCTGATAGGCAATTTTAATAGAGATATTCAGCAGTACAGTGTACAATACTTGCACAAATTAACATCTAGATTTACACTTCGTATTACATTTAAACTCGCAATTGAGCAGCAATGGGATGATATCTTCTTCATACAGCTCGCCATAATGGAATATTCTGAACTGCACTTAGGGCAGTATTATGCATTGATATATGCTGTATTTCTGATATTGTATTGAAATGATATATGCTGAAGTTATGGTAGTATGAAAACGTATGCTGCCGTTATGGCACCATTCTGAAATGATGTAGACCAGAGACTGATATAAAGTTATGTTATGGTGCCTGGAGGGAAGGGTCATTGCTTGAACGTAGGTGATACATATATGAATGATATAGGCTGCAGTTATGGTGCTATAACTGAAAGATTATAGGCTGCAGTTATGGTGCTATAACTGAAAGATTATAGGCTGCAGTTATGGTGCTATAACTGAAAGATTATAGGCTGCAGTTATGGTGCTATAACTGAAAGATTATAGGCTGCAGTTATGGTGCTATAACTGTAAGATTATAGGCTGGCAGTTATGGTGCTATAACTGAAAGATTATAGGCTGCAGTTATGGTGCTATAACTGAAAGATTATAGGCTGCAGTTATGGTGCTATAACTGAAAGATTATAGGCTGCAGTTATGGTGCTATAACTGAAAGATATAGGCTGCAGTTATGGTGCTATAACTGAAAGATTATAGGCTGCAGTTATGGTGCTATAACTGAAAGATTATAGGCTGCATTATGGTGCTATAACTGAAAGATTATAGCTGCAGTTATGGTGCTATAACTGAAAGATTATAGGCTGCAGTTATGGTGCTATAACTGAAAGATTATAGGCTGCAGTTATGGTGCTATAACTGAACGATTATAAGCTGTAATTAGTGTGCTATAATTACATGAATTTAGGTGCAGTTATAATTCTGTAACTGAATGATATCAGCTGCCTTGTTAACACTGGTAAGCGCTGAATCCTTAAGGAAGAGGGGATGATTTTAGGGAATGGAAGGCAGTCAGGTTTGATCCGAGTCATCGGATCAAGAGCCCCTCACATAAATTGCGTTTAGGGGTTCAGTATATAGGGCTCTCCTCTAGATTCGTCTCACACCATTACATATACCAATGACACCACTGTATGCTATGGTACTGTATTTTATTTTTTATCAAAAAAAAAAAAAAAAAAAAAATCAGTAATAAGGGGTAAATGATAATTTTTTAGATAAAAACGTTTTGCCTCCGAAAAATGTGAATGAGAGAGAGAGAGAGAGAGAGAGAGAGAGAGAGAGAGAGAGAGAGAGAGAGAGAGAGAGAGAGAGAGAGAGATTCTAACATATCTCACGGTGCGTTGTTCGCCACGTAGCTTAAGTGGATTTATCGAGCTTCTGTTAGTTCTCACTTCTTTATTCTTCTAAGATGAAGAAGAAGAAGAAGAAAGAGAAAGAAAAAGAAGAAGAATTAGAAGAAGAAGAAGAAGAAGAATTGCAGTGATTCCAATTGTGGAAAAAGGTAATTCCTGATTCAGAGGAGAATAACATCCTTTAAAACCCAGAGATCAGCTATCTAGAAGGTAATGTGTAATTCTTGAATGTAATTTTTCTATCAAGAAAGGTTAATTTAACTATTCAAAATTTTAATGCCCCCCCCCAAAAAAAAAAAAGAAATTTCAGCCTTCAGTAACTTAATTCCAGTCTTCAATAAGGTAATTATAGTATTCGATAAGGTAATTCCAGCCTTCATTAAGGTAATTCCAGTCTTCAGTAACGTAATTGCAGTCTTCAATAAGGAAATTTCAGTCTTCAATTAGGCAACTCGAGCCTCCAATAAAGTAACTACAACATTCAATAAA